TCCTCCAAATCAAAAGAAAAAAGAAATGAGAAGGGATTACACTTGGATCTTAACTAGTTACCTCACAACTATGGCTTTATCAGTGATTTTTATTTCCTCTTTGATGTGTGTGTGTGCTCGCTTGTGGCTGATTCCTTGCGATCCTATGGACTGTTGTTTGCCAGGTTCCTCTGTCCATAGGATTTTGCAGCCAAGAATACTAGAGTGGATTGCCATTTCCTCCTCCAGGGTATCTTCCTGACCCAGAGATAGAACCTACATCTCCTGCATTGGCTGGCAAATTCTTTACCACTGAGCCATCTGGGGATAGCCAAGCCATGAAACTCACTAGTTACCTCACAACTCTGGCACTATGGCCTAAACTTTTTTTAAATCCAATTTCATTTACTTATGTATTCATTTATGGTTAATTTTACTATGTTAATAGATTCAAATAATTTAAAATTCAAAAGATACAGAAAGTATGGTGAAAAGACTCACTGCTACTCAGTGTACTCAGTCCCCCAGCCACCACCACAAGCATGGAGGCGACAAATATTATCAGTTACTTCCTGGGTATCTTTGTGAAAATATTAGATGCATATATATTAATTCTTTTCTGCCTTTTTAATACAAATACAGTGTAACATACACATTGTTCCGTACCTTCCTGCTTTTATTCAACAATGTATCTTACCGATTGTCTCATATTAGTATGTGTAGAGCTTCCTCTTTCTTTTTAATGGATATGTGGTAGTCTACTGTATGCATTACCATAATTTATTTAGCCTCATCTAAAACATACTACTTTTATAATTGGCAAGAACAGCAAAGAGATTATGGAGGAAAAACTATCTTTTAATCTCAGGCTCTTCTTCCTCACCAAAAGGTATTGAGTCATGGTTTATCTACAAGACATGGTGCTAAGCTTAGATCTTATCCAAAAGAATCTTACAGTCTAGAACAGACAGTAAGACATGTATCTTTATTCATACCTCTATGATAGCACATATACTTTTGCTATAAACAGTGATGACAGATTAATAAAGATAAATAAAAGGTAGTGGCTCAAGGATAAAGAATCCGTCTGCAGTGTAGGAGACTCAGGAGATACAGGTTCAATCCCTGGGTTGGGAAGATCCCCTGGAACCCACTCCAGTACCCTTGCCGGGAAAATCCCATGGACAGAGGAGCCTGACAGGATACAGTCATGGGGTCGCAAAAAGTCAGACACAATTGAAGTGACTAAGCACACAACACCAATACAAAGTAGTACTGGAACAGATAATTGAGGTCAGAATATAGACCCTTAATTATAGACTTAATTATATCAACTTAAAATCTGTATAAAGTGGGAAGCTCCAGAAATTTTTTGAGTAGGTGAGTCTCTACATTCTGTTTTCAGATGATAGATCTGGCTGTGGTGTAGAAAAAGAATTTAACTGGGGACCTGTTCAAGGATGGGAGGATGTATCTATTAAACAGATGATGGGAACCTGAACAGACCTAAATTAAGACTTTGATCAGGTTGTCTTTGATCAGCCTACCAGGTTTTCTCTCAGAATATGATAGTTTCATGCTTATCAGGTTTCATTCACATAGGACACTAACTATTCCCAAATACATGCTCCACCCTGCTCCACTGTTTTCCAAGGCCTAGCTCAAAAACTTTGGGGAAAGAATTTCCCCCCATTTCCCTCAGCTAAAATGAACTGCTTCCAGAGCATTTTATCTGTAACTTGCTGGTGCTACTTAATCATTCTCCCCCCACCAAGCTGTAAACTCCTCTAGTTAAGGGGTTACTCATTAGTTATTCTGGTTTTCCAGAAATTTAGTACATTGCCTGACACATACTAAGCACTGTATATAAATTGTTGAATTATACTGGCACAGTGGAAAGTGTATGGGTTTTGGGAGTTAGACTTAAGAACTCAATCGCAGCTTAGCCACTCACTCATTGGCTATATGATTATGAGCAGGTATTTAACTTTTCTTATCTATAAAATAAAACTTCTTGCAAATTGTTGTGAAGCTTTGAGATCAGTACCTAGCAAAGTATACAGTGCATAAAGGATATTCAATGAATAATAGTTAAAATAATGGCTCCAGAAATTTTTTTTTAATCTCAGGTAAAAGAGCAGATCTCTAGTATTTTTATTTACGTTGTTAACTATGCTCAATTATGACTCCTCTTTGTTGAGGGATATCAATGTATGCACTCAACAAACATTTTTGAATGCCTACTACATGTTAAGCATTGAGTATATAAAAATGAGGAAAGCATGGTCTTTATAATTAGGACAATTATTTCAAAATCCTTTTAGTAACAGGATCTCCTCTCCTTGTCCTTACTACCCAAGAAAGAAGGACATGGCAGAGTTTCTGGGCCTTATATGAGATGTCACTCTGTTGCACTGTATAATTTCATATTTCCTATATTAATTCAAAAAAACTTACTAACTATCCTGTGGTAGGCATGGTGCTAGAAGATACAGAAGAAAAAAAAAATACAGAACAGTCCCAGTTTTGAAGAAGGTACTTCAGAGCATCTTCTTCTTGCTTTTAAAAACAAGGAAGAAGAGTATTACTAAGTTTTTCTACCACATATGCATTTCTATTACACTGCATATTTTCATCCTTACCTATAGCCTTCTGTAGATGAAACTGAGTAGAATCTGATAAAATGATCCAGTCTCTACTACCTCCTATGTTATTTGTTGGCTTTTAATCTTGTTTTATGGTAACTTGAAGATTTAGCCATCCATGTACCAACAATTCTGGGGACAAAATAAAAGACATGTCACTAGATCATTAACCTTTTCTGGACTTTCACCAACCTTACTGATAGTTCTTTTTTTACTTCAGAATTCTTTTAGCAGTGTAAATTACCAACTCAGCCATCCTATTTACTAATAACAAAACTAACGGTTTTAAATTATATATACTACAGTCTGTTAAAACCTTTGAGTGTGAACTGTAGCCCATCCTAGAAAATTCTCTATTTTAATTGTATTTCATTGTAGTTAAACTTATAAACATTTTATAGAATCATAGAGTTAGACAAAATGTTATAATTTCATAGTTAAGAGCAAGCAACCACTTCCCCAAAATTCCTTTCCTCCTGGTAAGTTTACTCTTCTCCTCCTTGATTTAAGGTTTATTTTTACCACAGAACTAATTGATAAAGATGCCCTTGCTTGGTTATAAAATAGGATGTCACAGTTAGATTTTTTACAATATTTCCTAATTAGAATTGTTACTCCTTTGCTTCCAAAATAAAGGAGTAAAATTCTAATACAAGACTACATAAATTAAAGAACTTTCTTCTAGTAGTCACTGTTCTATAAAAGGTTCACTGATCATCAGAAATTTAGGAAAGTAATAGGACCACACAGGCAGTCAAATTAGAGTAATTGCTGAGTTCAGAAGCTAATAGCTAAGCAGCTTCATAGGCTGTGCTCAATACTAAATTGCAATTTCAGTCTGTATTGTCTGTATAGACAGTACTTACTGACTTTGGTTTTCAAACAAAATTAAGATTATGAACAAGGTAAGATAGCTTCAGAATAAGTAAGGAAAAAGAAGTTCAGGTTCAGCCAGGTTCTGGCCTAGTTAAAAATTCAGATACCTTGCTACTCCATGAGTTAAACTCCAATATCCAATTAATACTTTACATTTAGTGCTTTCTTTCTTACTAAACTAGCAGTTGGTGCAGAGAGGGAAGAAGGGGGAAGGGCTGCTTAAGGGGTATTGAGATGTTTAACCATTTTGTGATGAAGATGTCTTAGAACTAGGTAGAGGTGATGGCTACACAGCGTTGTTTATACATTACATGACACTTAATTATACTCTAGGCTTCCCCATTGGCTCTGCGGTAGAGAATCCGCCTGCAATGCAGAAGACGCAGGTTTGATCCCTGGGTCAGGAAGGATCTCCTGGAGAAGGAAATGGCAGCCCAATTCAGTATTCTTGCCTGAAGAATTCCACGGACAGAGGAGCCTAGAGGGCTACAGTCCACTACAAAGAGTCGGACATGACTGAAGCGACTTAGCACACAGGCGGGCAACTAAACACTCTAAAATGGTTGATTTTACATGATGTGAATTTCACCTCAATTTCTTTTTAAAGTAAATTATTTCTTAAAAGGAAAAGCTACAGGGCTTTCTTGCAGAGATGGACTTCACTTTCTTAAGGCCCTCAAAGTACAAAACCTACATACCAGAAGCGAGGTTGGAGAGGGTCACTCCTGCTTCACATAAAGCAGCATTAAAAGCTTAGATTTTCCTCAGGTGGATCCTAGTTTCAATACTGGCCAATTAACTGGCATTTAACACCAATACTGAACTCATTCCAGTGAGAATGAGAAAGCGGGAAAATGTTTGTCTGGAATTTTCTAAAAGCAGCCCCGCCGGTTTAGAAATTCACTACGAGAGATAGCGAACACCACAGGGGAAATGGTAGGAGCCATATTTTTTTCCTGAAAGGTTTTTGTTTGGGGGTGAGGCTACTTGTGAGGTTCTATAAGCCTGAAACATTACATTTAAACCCAGGTGCTTAACTGTAACGAATGGATCTGTACAAGGGGCAGCGTCCCACAGTGAAATGCAAAAACCCAGGCTAAGTATCTTTCTGTAGCAACGAAGCTTCATTACGCCGCTCACCGCCATACCCATCCGCGGGAAAGCTACCTCCACTAGCCGAAGAAGGCGGAGCCTCGGAGGGCACTCCCGCCACACAGTGCTGGCGGCGCCGCTGGGCTTCCTGAGAGTTGTAGTTTTAGTCACCCATCCATCTCCTTTGTTCAGGCGGTATGTTGTGAACCAGGAAACTACAACTCCCAGAGTGCGCCGGGGTAACGAGCGCCCGCGGCAGTGACGACTGTGGAGGACAAGGCCCGGAGGGACTCTGCCTTGTGGAGTGGCGCTGCTGCTTGGGCCGGTGGCACACTGCAGGCTGCTGGCGTCGCGGCTGAGGAGAACGGGCGAGTGGGTTCGACCTTTCCCGTTGTGGTGTCCGCAACGATGAGTGCTGCCAGGGAGTCCCATCCGCACGGGGTGAAGCGTTCAGCCTCCCCAGACGACGATGTAAATAACAATGGCGGAGTGGTGGAGGGTTGAGGCCTACCAAAGATTGGGATAGGCGGGGAAGGGTGGATGAAGACGGAGGAAGCGATTGAGGTGACCTGAAGAGGGAGGGCCGCGGGGAGGACCCAGAAGAATGGGAAATGTACTCTTTTCTTAATTAGGGTTGAACTGTTTGTAGAGTTCTACCCGCTAAGAGGCAGAGACCTGCATAGGAAGGGGAATCGAGGAAAGAAATACTGAATGGTCGAGAAGTGAAAGAGCTTAGTGAAGTGTACGTGTTTACCCATTTGGGGGCTGTTGAAGCTTCTTTATGGATGTTTCTACTAGGAGATGGCAAGATCCTGCTGGTTTTAGGCTTAAAATCCTCCTGTGATAAAGTCGAGATGTTCATGCACATTTGGACAGATTTTCTGGCCGGGATTATTTTTGCAACGTAATGGTAACAGTTAAAATTAACTGTACTGTTAAGAGTAAACCAAGAAAGTACTGAACGGAAAAACTGTACCGGGAGAACTGGCGCACAGTCCTGAGGCCTGAGACGTTGAGATGTAGAATCCAGTTTTGATGTCAAGTACTTCTCTTCTCCCTCCCCCCACAGTTGTCAGTTTAAATAGCAGGCCATTCATTCCTTGAAGTAAACCATTAAATATTTACTGCGGTGCCAGATGTTGGGAATTCAAAGATGAATAACTATGGTGTTTATCCTGGGCCTTTTGTGTGTTTGTACTAGCTCCTAGCGCGGTGTCAGGGACACTGCAGTAACCAGTAAACCTAAAACTAGGTCCTTCATACAATGGATGAACGCCATGGAAACGTAGACGGGGAAATTGGGGAGCGGGGGAAGGTGGAGAGGTTATCGATAAGGATGATGAAGGGAGGATAGCTAGTTTACTTTCGGTTATTTAAAGCGCTGTCAGTTTCTGAATGTGTAGAGTTCGTTGTTTTCTAAAAGTGCGGTTCAGTGCCTTTGGTAATATTTTACTTTGCGAAGCCTAGAAGACTCATTGAACTCTGTTGGTGCATCAGTTGTAGTAAATGAGATGACGTTAAGACCCATCCCTCATCAAGTCGATGGTGGAGTTAGGTCCAGAATAGTAAGGCTCTTTACGGAAATTGATTTTAGCTCTGCAGAAAGATAAGTAATCAGTAAAGATTTGAGGATGAATAATTATATAGTGAGATTTATTCGTGCCCACTGTTCCTCCCTACAACTGGCTTTGAGATATTTTCTTGTTAATATAGTAAGCCAGTACTTAATCAGGAATTTATCTAGGCTTTTTGAGTAACCTGGGTGCTGTTTTAAAAACCATTACGCTGTATTCCTCCTGGTATTTAACTGTGACTTGATTGCTAGAATGTCAGGCACCTGTTTTGCTAGAATCAACGAAATAATCTTTTCTTTTCACAGAAAACTCTTAGCGATATTAGGTAATTTAACAAAGTTAAAGTGATTAAATAATTAAATCTCTACAGTTTTCGATGAGATCAGGGTAAACTACATGACCTTTAAGACCTTTCCCAATCCTATAAGCATTCCTTTTGATAGAGATGGTTACAGTTGCAGTTCAGAATTAGGTCCAAGGACCTTAACACATTATTTATAAATGTTGGGGTTCATGGGGTCGCAAAGAGTCGGACACGACTGAGGGACTGAACTGAATTGCGTATTTTAGTGCAATACAGTAGTAACTTGTCCCTTGACAGTAATTTTTGAGTCAGTTTCTTTAACATTATTTTTATTTTTGTTGGTAATTGGGAGTTATCTTTAAGTGCTTGTGTTTTTAATATTTTAAGAATAATACTTATTTAAATTTTTAAAATATATGTCTAAGTTTAGAAAATCAAATGTAAGTGGTCAACAGTTTCTAATGTGCCTCTGACCTAAAAGATTATCAGTTTTCTTTGCCCACTCACCTCAAATCATGGAATCCAACTCTAGGAAAATGCTGACAATTGTAGAAATAAATGCTAAGAGTTATTACAGTGCGTACTGAAGAGGAGGTAAATTGACTGCAGTTCTATAATAAGTGTATTAAGGATGAAACCAACTTAAAAATGGGTTCGTTGGTTTGATTGGAGTGGAGAAATGAAAGCTGTCTTTTAGGAAGTAGGATGAAGAGGGAGGTCGACTTTAGTAACTGATGGAGAATGTGTGGACACTCATGTGCTTTTCAGAGTGCAGCACTTGAGCGAGGTACTTTCTCCTGTATGGGAAGACCTGGAAAGAAGAACTGGAAGGACTTCATGATTTTTTTTTTTAATTAGAATTATAAATTGTAGATGATAGGGTTATTTATGTAAGGCAATGAAGATATTTGCTCTTTTAATAGGAAATTTGGGGAAGTTTTGCTTTTTTTAGACAATTATTTTAAACTAATTCTACATATTTTATAACTGTAGTTCATAAACTACTTGTATATATCCTGTCTCATTTGATCATGTACAGAGTATGATGTGGAAAGAGCAGAGGATGGAAGCAAGTCAGTTAGCCTCTTTGCCTCAGTGTCCTTATTAATAAATAGACTTTTGAGAGAATGTAAATGAAAAATGATTCGTAAGTTGTGAAACAGTATGCAATTCTTAGGTGTTGGTATTCTTAAGACAGCCTTTCAAAAAAGACTCTTTGGGCAGATGGAGAATTAAAACTTAAAAGTTAAATATCAGGTCCAAGGAACAAGTGTTTAGTGAGAATCAGAACTTAAGCTTCACTAATACTTTGTTTTTTGTTTTGGGTTTCTTTTTCTTAACTATACTGAGCCAGAAATAGTTAAGAACTAACTATGAAAAAATATGAGATGTCAAGTGGGAAGAAGTAAAGATTAGGGACTTAGATGGCCAGAATCAGAAGAGCATGACACTGAAAGGAATTGAGAAGAACCATAAGTGGGTGTCCAGTATGAGACAGATATTTGAACTCTGCTATGCCCAGAAAGGATGACTATCATTGTTTTACATATGCATTATTCTAATGGTCTTTTATGAATAATTTTCAGAAGAAGAAGATTGTAAAACTAATTTTATTAGAAATTCTAATAACTTAAATTCTAAAACTTAACCATAACAAACCAAATTTTCTTGATTTTTTTCACCATATATGTATATACACATGCATACCCAAAATATTTAGCATTCTCTGAATATAGCTAACTGTTTTATCAGTTGTCATGTGTGAAACTGAAACATAATTTCAGATTTCAGATCTATTTATAATAGATATTAGCTTTATCTTAATTCTTGCATTTGCATCATCAAAATATGATACCTGAAGAATTTTTTTGAAACGCTTTCATTTTTCATAGTTTTGTGTAGAAAGGGGGTTGGCTTCTTTTCTCTATATTTATACAGCACTTTCATTTTTAGATTATAAACTCAACTGAAATGATCAACTCAGTGAATGCTTTCATTTCTGTATTCCTTCTAGTCACCAGCCCTTAATATTTGTCCACTTACAAACTATATCAAATAAATTTTGGTGTACAAGTATCATAAAAGAGGAAATTGTTACATATCTCTAGAAAAAATGGCCCCGCCCCCGCCCGGGTTCTTGCTCCAAGCAAGAACACTGGAGTGGGTTGCCATTTCCTTCTCCAGTGCGTGAAAGTGAAGTCGCTCAGTCATGTCCGACTCTTAGTGACCCCATGGACTGCAGCCTACCAGGCTCCTCCATCCATGGGATTTTCCAGGCAAGAGTACTGGAGTGGGTTGCCGTTGCCTTCTCCGATTCATCTTCTAATTCATGTAATAGTTATGAAATACCTCCTGTCAGTTTCTAGTTTTAACTCAGTTGCCATTATGGGTAGAAATGTAAAATTTTTAACTGTGTCCAAAGAAAGTTAAAGTATACAATAGAGAGGGGATGTCTTCTTGAAAGATGATGCAATTCTTTAGACAGCACAGTGGGATAACTTTTCTTATTATTTTAGTCATTTTAGCATAATTGGGAATGATTAATGAATTATAATGATTCTTACATTTGTTTTAAGATGTAGGGAAAAATATTGCTAGGATTCCATATTATTTATTAGATTTATAAAAAGGTTCAATAGACCCATTTGATGATTACAAGATAGGATGGGTTTTGTTCTGTTCTTTTTTTAAAAAAAATAGTAAATATTCTCTTTGTTCTTTGGAACACCTTAAAGAATCAAAGTCCTAACATACTAGTCCTTAGAAGTAACAGAAGCTATTCAAAAAAGAAAGTAAAAATGGGTCCAGTTGACCCTGAAGTTATACTGTTCTTTAGAATATTACTATAGCCAGTTTTTAACTTCAGTTAACAGCTGTGGCAGTCTTCTAGGTTCAAAGTATTAGGTACCCTAGGGCCCTGTAAGGCTCTAAGCAGCTCTCAAAGTGTGGTCAACATCATCAGCATCTCTTAAGAATTTGTTGGAAGTGAAATAAATCCTTGAGCTCCACCCCAGAAGTACTAAATCTGAAATTCCTGAGGTACAGTCCAGCAGTCTGTGTTTTAACCAGCCCTCTAGGTAATTCTTACAGGTGTAAACTTTTGAAACGCAGATCTCTGGCTTCAAAAGAACTAAAGGAGTTTGCCTTATAGTAACAGAAAAGAAGTATTTTTTAAATCAAATATAATGCATATGGTTAACTTCCCAATCAAGAATGAGTCTAGTTTATAGTGAAAACTGATGGGAGTGGGAGGGAGGAGGAAACTTGGGATTTACTAGTGGACTCTTTCTAAGTTTTCTTAATATTTATTATTATACAGAAAAGATTAATTGGTCTGTTTCTTTTCCAGCTTGGATCTAGCAATTGGGAGGCAGCAGACTTAGGTAATGAAGAAAGAAAGCAAAAGTTCTTGAGACTTATGGGAGCAGGAAAGGTAAGCATCAGACAGAATACATTTTTATCTTTTCTGTGAAAATAATGCCCTTTTTGTGTATGTTAAGTGAGAAAGAATGAATACACTCGGATTCCATCTTACTTTACATTTTAAGGTCTGCCTGATTACTTTAGTTTTTTGTAACTATAACTGACCTAATTGAGCTGCTTCTAGGTTTCTCTGTGCCACTGGGTGATAGTGTTTATAGATATATAGAGAAAAAAAATTTGTTTGAGTAGACTCCTGTGGAAGGAAGAAAAGGCAAAAGTTGTGATTTGCCATCTGTTATCCTAATAATTGGATACTTTTGGGCAGACCATTTGCTCAATCTTACAAAGAATAATCTTTCATATTTTATAGTTTGTCCAGCTCTTTAAGTAGTGGCCAAAGGAATAGCCTTTATCAAAAACTTGAATTCTGTCCTTTGCCTTTGTTTTTCTTATTCATATGAGGATGCATTCATGCATTTTACCAATGACTGTTGACTGTCTAATACATGCCAAGCACTGTCCTAGGTCGTGGAGGAGCAGGATGGGATCACACAGATCAGTAACACATGTTTGGAGTCATCATGTGCTGGAGGATACCAGATAATGACAATATAGAATTATAATTACTATGGAAAAGCTATGCACATGCTGCAAAATCAGCAGACAGGGGAAGCTAACTCTTGCTTAGCAGCACAAGAAAGCTTCCCAGAAATAGAACTGATCTGAATCTGAGAAGATTAAGAGTTAGCCAGACTAGAACAGTGGAGTTGGGCATAGGGAAAGATCATGTAAGATGTTAGGACCTATACGAAGGAAGCATTTGTATCTACATTTGTCCAGATTTCCAATAATTTGTGATTTGTCATAGAAAGTAGTCTGAAGTTTCTCTTGGTTCATGTAAATAAATTTTCTGAGGATATATAAAGTAATGGTTTAGGGAGTATACTCAATCTAGTAGACTTAAATTTCTTTAAGTTCCTTGAAAGAACAGCCTAACATAAAATGTATCAAATTTAACCACCAGTGGTCAGTTATATCCCAGTAATAAGAGGAGGGTGGGGAGTAAGGTGGAGGACAGATTGAACAATTTAAAAGAAAAAATTTGGCTCCTGATAAATGGGTATAACATACATTAAATTCTTTGATAGCAAAGCTTATAACTGATATTTTAGTCACGGTGCTATCATCTTAGAGTAACTCGATGCCATTGTATATATTCAAATCTTGTTACATATTTCCTGCAATCTAAAGGAGCAGTCTACTTAATTATTGATTTGCTTTTGTGCTAATAATATGTAGGGCAATAAACATTAATGCTTGAAGCTTTTCAGGAGTATCATCTTTGGGTATGGAGAATGTGGCATGATTTCACAATAGGATGATTTGTTATCTACTGTATATCTTCACACTTGATTGGTTAAGATTGCTTTGCAGATAGCCTCCAACTAATAAAAATAAGTGGGGAAAAAAAAAGATTGCTTTGCAGAGTCAAATTTTAATGAACAGTTTTGCTGTTATTGAGTTACTAAGTCGTGTCTGACTCTTTCGCAACCCTATGGACTGTAGCCCACCAGGCTCCTCTGTCCATGGGATTTTCCAGGCAAGAATACTGGAGTGGGTTACCATTCCCTTCTCCAGGGGATCTTCCTGACCTAGAGGTTGAACCCAAGTCTCTTGAAAGGGCAGGCAAACTCTTCACCACTGAGCCACTAATTTTAGTGAACAATATTTTTTTCAGTTGGTATTCTTTTTTTTTTAAATTGAAGTATAATTGATTTACAGTTTTGTATTAGTTTCAAATATATAGTAGAGTGATTTAGTTATGCATCTATATCTGTTTTTCAGATTCTTTTTCATTATAGTTTATTACAAGATGCTGAATATAGTTCCCTGTGCTATATATATATATAGTAGGACCTTATTGTTTGTCTATTTTATATGTAAGAGTTTGTGTCTAAAATTCCAAATTTATCCCTCCCACCCGTCTTGCCCTTTAGTAACCAAGGGTTGGTTTCTGTCTGTAAGTCTGGTTTCTGTTTTGTAAATAAGTTCATTGTATATTTTTTTAGATTTCACATGTGATATATTTGTTTCTGTCTGACTTCATTTACTATGATAATATCTAGATCTGTCCATGTTGCTGCAAATGGCATTATTCATTCTTTTATTGCTGAGTAGTATTCTATTGTACATATATATATAATTCCTATACGTATATATATATATATACATACCACATCTTCTTTATCCATTCACCTAAATGATGGACATTTAGGTTGCTTCCGTGACTTGGTTATTGTAAATGCTGCTGCTATGAACATTGGGGTGTTTATATCTTTTTGAGGTAGTTTTCTTCATATATATGCCCAGGAATGGGATTTATGAATCATATGGTAACTATTTCTAGTTTTTTAGGAACTTCCATACTGTTCTCCATTTACATTTCTACCGGCACCACAGGAGGGATCCTTTTTGTCTTCATCCCCTGCAGCATTTATTGTCTGTAATCTTTTGATGATGACCTTTGTGACCAGTGTGAGGTGATACCCCCTTGTAGTTTTGATTGGAGTTTCACTAATTAGTGATGTTGAGCATTGTTTCATGTGCCTTTTGGCCATCTGTATGTCTTCTTGGAGAAATGTCTGTTTAGATCTTCTGCCTGTATTTTGATTGGGTCAGGATTTTCTTTTGATATTGACCTATAGGAACTGTTTGTACATTTTGGAAATTAATGTCTTGGTGGTCTCATCATTTGCAGACATTTTCTCTCATTCCATAGATTGTTTTTTCATTTTGCTTATGGTTTCCTTTGCTGTGCAAAAGCTTTTAAATTCAAGTTTTTTTAGGTCCTACTTGTTTGTTTTATTTCTATTACTCTTTAAGAGACAGGTGAAATAAACAGTGCTGCAGTTTACTTGTATCTTTAATCCTGTTCAAGTTTATATTTCAATACAGTGTTAGAGAATGTTCTAATTTCATTCATATGCATGTAGCTGTCCAGTTTTCCAAGCACCACTTATTGAAGAGACTGTTTCTCTGTTGCATATTCTTGCCTCTTTTATCATAGATTAATTGACTTATAAGTATATGGATTATTTCTGGGCTTTTGATCCTGTTCCATTGATCTGTGTATGTTTTTGTGCCAGTTTCATACAGTTTTGATTACTGTAACTTTGTAGAATAGTCTGAAATGAGGGTGCAATTCCTCTGACTGTTCTTCCTCAAAATTGTTTTGGCTCTTTGGGGCCACAGAAATTTTAAAATTATTTGTTATAGTTCTTTTGAAAAATGCCATTGGTGATTTGATAGGGATTGCATTAAATTGGTAGATGGCTTTGGGAAGTATGGTCACTAACAATATAAATTATTCCAATTCAAGAATATTTTCCACTGTTTCTGTTGTCTTTAATTTCTTCTGTTAGCATCTTTTAGGCTTCTCAATACAGTTCTTTTGCTTGTTTAGGTAGGTTTATTCCTTGGTATTTTATTCTTTCTGATGTGATGGTAAGTGGAATTGTTTCTTTAATTTCTCTTTGTGATAGTTCATTGTTAATGTATAGAAATGCAGCCAATTTCTATATATTAATTTTGTAGTCTGCAACTTTTACCCACTTCATTGATGAACTCTAGTAGTTTTCTGCTGGTGTCTTTAGGATTTCCTATGTATGGTATCATGTCATCTGCAAACAGTGACAGGCTTACTTCCTCCTTTCTAATTTGGATTTCTTTTATTTCTTTTTATTTTATGATTGCTCTGGCTAGCATTCCCAATACTGTGCTGAATAAAAGTGGCAAAACTGGGTATCCTTGTCTTGTTCCTGATCTTAGGGGGAATGATTTCGAGTTTTCACCTTTGAGTGTTATGTTAGCTGTAGGTTTGTCATATATGGCCTTTATTATGTTGAGGTAGATTCCCTCTGTGCCCACTTTTCTGAAGAGTTTTTAATCATAAATGTATGTTGAGTTTTAGCAAAAGTTTTTTCTTTATCTACTGAGATTGTCAGTTGAAAAAAATGCACAATGTAACAGTTGAGAATTATTTTATTCAGCAGATTTTCTGAGTACTTAAGCCCAGAAGGCAGCCTCTCAGATTGCTCTGAGCAACTGCTCCAAAGAGGTAAGGGAGGAGCCAGTTTTGCAGCAAAAACCAGATTAGTTGGAACATCAAAATATTACTGTTAACTAGGGAAAATCCGATATTTAAGTTAGTGAATTTAACACTTCGTGTGGGAAGGTACAAGTCTGGACTCATTGAAATCATTCTTTTGATAGGCATCTTAACTGTTTAGGGCCTGTATCCTGCTTTTCTACATTCTGAATCTCTACCGGGAGCAAAGTGGTGAATGCAGTGAATGCAGTGGCTGCTAGCTTGATGGCTACAGCGTCCTTTGTTTACTGACATGGCTACATTTTTCATTCATAGTTCTTCTTTCCTCTTGATTATAAATTCAACCGACATTTGAGAGGCACTTTGTGACCAATTTTGTCCAACGGTGCTAGGGAGTCATGTGTGTGAGTGTGAGATTAACTGTCTTAAGACCTCTGCCATCATTAATTTTTTGGAGATGTGGTTACACATTGGGTAATTCAAGAAACAATCTTATAAACCAGACAAGATAATTAATATAGTTTGGTAAGATTAATAACTTTGCCATCATTAATTTTTTGGAGACCTGGTTACACATTAGGTAATGCAGTAGATAATCTTATAAACTAGACAGGATAATTAATATAGTTGGTAACATTAATAAGGTCATAGTACGGCAGAGAAGGGCTTCCCTGGTAGCTCAGACGGTAAAGCATCTGTCTACAACGCGGGAGACCCAGGTTCAATCCCTGGGTCAGGAAGATCCCCTGGAGAAGGAAATGGCAACCCACTCCAGTATTCTTGCCTGGAGAATCCCATGGACTGAGGATCCTGGTAGGCTGCAGTCCATGGGGTCGCAGAGTCAGACACGACTGAGCGACTTCACTTTCACGGCAGAGAAAGACAGAGTATAAACAACTAAT